TCTCCCCAAACAATCTCCTCGAACTTTCCGACGTACTTCTTCACCTTCGCTTCATGAATCTCCAACCAATCGTTGCTCAGAATCTCCTTCAGATTCGATGATCGGACTTTGACCACGACGTAACGGAAATTGTTGATTAAGAAGAGATACGAGAGAGCTACGTCGTTGTAGAGACGAGACTTGGCGTCGATTTTGCAGAGCAAGAACAGAATCAGCCACGAGATTCGCTTTGCAATCGGCGACGATGAATTATCGACGGCAGCGCCGGAGAAGTTTTGTTCCGGTAAAGGTAGCGATGTACTGGGGATGATATCGGAGAGTGTGTCACTGTAATCTGCGAGGAAGACGATGAAATTCATAACGTACCTTGTGAGTTGATGGATTCCTCCACCGGAAATTAGGGATTTGGATGATTCTTTTGAAATCGAAGATTCGAATTCGTCCATCATTAAAATTACACCTTCTCTGAGATTCGTTAGGGTTACGGCGACTTGTAATCTGACTGAAGAAGTCGAATCGTAGCTAAAAACCTCGTCGATTTTAGGTAAGAGATCGATTATGGTTTGGTAAACGTCGAGAGTGAGGAAGATTTTCTCTGGAGATTTCATTGATTTCGCTATGTTTCCTGGGAAAGTAAACAGAGCTAAAGCGCTCTGTTCAGTGATTTCTGCAAACGAAGATTCACGAATTGCGGCGGAAGACGACGAGAAGACATGATCGGAGATGATTTTCTCTCCGTAAAACAGAGTCGTGACTGCTTTTCGGCTCACTCGTAACCATTTTCTGATCTTCTTCTCCATAATCTCCGGTTCAAGTTTCTGGATCTGCGATGAACTCAGATTCTCGAAACCAAGTTGAATCAAAGCTTGGACGATGATAGATTTTCTGATTCTTTTGTAAATTCGAAGGCATTCTTTGCTGTATCCAGAAGAAATCATACAATCAGCGATCATCTTCAAATCCGCCATAGCGTCTGCATCTTCATTAGTAATTCTTGTAGTAGAGTTTCGAGATCGAACAGAGACGGATTCAGGATCGAGGTACCGTCGATTCGATTTAAGAATCCGGTAAAACTCATTGGATAGATGATCCATGGAGATTTTCATCAAATTCTCAGCTCGAATTAGCTTCACTGATGTTGGATTTAACAAGACAAGCCTAACCATTCCAGAGTGTAAATTGTTAACAGCATTGATGAATCGTCTTGCTTCTTCGCGGTTTCTGGTGGAAAAAAGCGTTG